AAGCAACACAGATGGAACTGAAGACCATCAGGTTAAGAGAAATAAACCAGAATCAGAAAGAAAAGTATTATGTTTTCCCTACTCTAAAAAAGATGACATAAAGGTAAAAAATAGACCAATATCAGACAAGAGGAAGGGAATCAGGGAGTGAGAAAGAGGAATGAGGGGAGTAACTGAGGCATAGATATAATGAAAATATATCCATTGAAATCTAATATTTTGGAAAATTGATAGGCACAAGTAGAAATGTAGGCTTAGAAGAGTGTAATGCTAAAATTTATGATGATGCAATTTTTAGTCATAACATATTTCTTGTTCCATTTTCCATATTTTATTTGTACATATATATATACCTGTATTACTTCTTGGATGAGTTTTATGGTGATACAATGTTACCCTTTCAAAGTGTTATCTTTCAGCAGTTGCTAATATTCTCTAGGGTAGTATAATGATCAACAGTAACTAAGTTGGAAGAGTTTATCACTTCAAAAATGAATTCCTACTCCCTGGCAAGTCTCCCTCAGTTTCTTCAGCCACACCCACGCATTGATGTTTTCCCTTTAGTGGATTCGCCTGTTTTTTGACACTTTATACAAACAGAGTCATGTAATAGCCATCCTGGCTTCCTTTCCTGAGCACGATTTAAGATGCTACATGTATCGGTAACTCATCCCTATTTAATTTTCAGGATATACCACATTGCAACTTTGCATTAAATTAGTCTTCAGTTCAGAGACTCTTGACTTGCTTTCACTTTGGCCTTGTTGTGAGTAATACTGCTTTCTTACAAGACTTTGTGTAGATCTATGTTTCCAAATACTGGGGCCTATATCTATAGAATTTCTGCATCATGATATCACAATTATCATCCTTTGAGTTGCTGCAAAATTGCTTTCAAAAGTGACCCTATGATTTCAAAATCATCCCTCATATGAACTTAGAATCTAAAACCAAAAATGACCTTAAACTACCTAATTTTGCATCCTGTAAATATGGAGCCCACAGTATTTTTTTAACCTTCTCTAAAGATAATCAAGCTATAGTTTCGACTTTTCATTGCAAGATTTAGGCTTTGCAATTTTTCATTTAAAAAGATTAACTTTCCCATTGCCTTTGTACTTTTAGGACAAACTGGAGACCAGAAAAGTTTCAAATGTTGCAGGGAATACAGGACACAGAGATTAAGAGTAGTGAAGGAAGGTAAGTAAAGAAGCTACTTAGCAAGCAACATTCACTTTACATTTTTATGTCAAGGAGGTAAAATGACATTGAGATAAACAACTTTCTAGATAAATAAATTTCACAAATTGAGAGTTTAAAAGTAGATGTTGTAATAACAGTGGCATTTTCCTCTTTAAATACATTCTTAAAGCCAAAAGAGGTAGGTAGAAGCTCGATATAGATTTCACTAAATCCAGCACTTCACAGAGCTCAGTGTGTGAAAATCCAGCTGTTCTTTTCTGCTTCTTACACTCACAGCCAATAGTGGCAAAATGCTGCTTTCCTTATTTGCTGACAGTCGTGTTGCTGATGCAAGAAGCAAAATAGCATTTCTCTTCTGGGCAATGTTAATTATGGAGTGCTGACAAGAGCTCAAAATTAAATCCAAGTCCTCCTAGTCAGTGTCCTACATCAATATGATATGGAAAACAAAATATACTGACAAGTATAAAAGCAGTGTGCACTTTGCACACTATCGCTTCTTTCATAATAAATGAAAAGATGCACACTGGATTAAAAAACCAATAATCATAATTGGTTATAGCAGAAGAAGACTGCTATAGTTTTAACTTATATTACTTATCTCATTCTTCAAAGTGGAGAAGGTTGGAGAGAGGCTCAGAGAGGTCAAAGAACATTGCTAATAAGTAGCAAAATGAGAATTTCACTCAATGTTCAAATTTTTCATGCTATTTTTTTATACTTTCTACAGGCACAATCTCTGTATACACTGCAGCAATTTTCACATTATTCTATGAGCACTGAGTTAAAATGGTTGAAATATGAGTCATATGACAAATGGAATGTAACGCCACTACCCAATTCCTCAGGCAGAGCACATTTCCTGTTGGAAATTAATTTATGACACTAGACACATTCAGAAAACTTAGATTTTCTTGCTGGGGTTAGCAGTTGTTCCGTACCTACTATCAACAATACTAGGGAGATTCAGGAATTTGTTAACCACTACTGTAATCGTTAAGGCAAAACTTTACCAAGTATTCATATGTTCATATATAAAAGGAAGAAACTGAGAATGACAGGTAGTTGCCTGCAGAGTCAAGCCACAAACAAAAGGAATGTTTTATATTTCGTACTCAAGTATATAGGAGCACAGAGCTATTCTTTTCCATAATGCTAGTTTGATAACATGTATTTAACCTTTAAAAGTCCGATGGTTCTTTGAACCAGTAATCGTACATCTAGAGTTGTATCCTAAGAATAGAATCAAGGACATATGCTATAATTTAGCTATACAATTTTTTAATAATTTTGGTTATCATCACCAAAAACAGGGACCAGCGCTTTGACTAAAACTGAGTGATTAAATTAATTGTGCTGGATGCATGGAAGGGATAAGTGTACAGGTATGAAAATTTTTGTAGTACCAAATTACTCCTTGGGAAAACAAGCATTCCAACATACAACCTTCTTGGTGAGTTTTACTTAACCCATGAAGTTAAGTAAAACATTACTTTTTGGTGATGTTGTCACTCTGGTCAAATTCGCAGTCAAATCAGGCTCATTTCTTCTGTGAGCCCATAATAAATGTGTATTTAAAACACATAGCATTACACCTAGTTGTTTGTTCCTCTTCCTCTTCTAGGATACAATGTGCTCAATGTCACCAGTTTTCATCACTTTTAATACCTCACCCCTCTTTAACACAAAGTAACATGAAGTTTTCAGTAAACATCTGACCCAGTGAATAAAATGAGAGACCAACTCTTAATCAGAGTACTCAATCTGTTTCATTTAAGAATGGCAACAAACATGATACAATCTGCAGCATACTAGCAGAAACTGTCAGAGTTACAGAGGAAAGAGGTCAATTCCAGGATTCCAGCTTCTTTTAGCTTGGTTCTGCTATGTGGTCAGAGGGGAAGCCATAACTGCAACATAGCTCATGTGGTAAGGCCATAGCCCAAGTTCATGCACAGTTTCCAGTGTGAGATTCATGAATTTCCATAGGAAATTAGCAGATTTCATCAAATATATCTCATAATATTTTCCTCAGAAAATTCTGTAAATTCTTTCTTTATTATTTTGCCTTATAAGGATACTATTATTTTTACTTAGAAAGGCACTGGATGTACAATTTTTGGACTACAATGATACCAGTCTATGTTGTATTCACCATATGGTTAGGACCAGAAAGCATTTTAACTACTCAGTGTCTATTTTGTTTATCATGAGTTTAATTTTCGTTTTCCTCTTGGGTTAACTTTTAAATCAAAGCCTATTAAAATGTAGTAAACGAGTAGCGTTGTTCATTATCCCTCTCTATACATCACAGGCAGACACAAGTACTTCCAGCATGATTACAAACATTCCTGCAAGAATGTAACAAACATTCCTGTGAGAATGAGAAAGGAGAGCTGCTACATGCAATTCAGGGAAGAGGAAGACCCTGTTCAGGGAAGAGGAAGAACCCTTGGCTTCTGCACAGTCAGCATTTTCAGATTATCTAAAGAAAGCCAGAGTGTGGGTCATCGGCAAGGAAGTCAACTGGAATAGGGCCAGGAAAAGAGAAAGAGCAGCAGAGCAAGTTTACAGAAGCTAGACTCTGAAGACTTGCCTTTCCGTAATACTCAAGAGATCTTGCCACCTTCTTGAACTTCACTGGGGTGTTTATGTTCTACATAAGCTGTATTTAGAGCTGCTACATTTTCCATTGCCTAAAGGAAATCCTAGTTATTTGCCTTGGTGCTTTCTGCTCTAGCTGAGACATCACACACCATGGTTGAACTATGCCTATGATACTAGGCTAGATCTTCTGATGCAGAAAACACCAGGTTATTCTAGCTCTCACAAACTGCTGAATAGGGTGACTGTGCAGGGAATGAGCCAGCTGAGGTGTCCCAGGTGCAGCTGGGGGATGTTGGTGTCTGCATGGCCCATGCCAGGAACGGGTTCTTCTCAGTTTTATCACAAAATAAGCCAGGACTTTCTCATGATACGTGTGCCTAAGAGTGGAGAGTGCAGGGATTCCAGGAAAACAGTTACAAAAGAACAGAAAGCATTTCATCAGGGCCCTGAATAGGTGTTTTTGATTGATCCACACTGGATTTTCATTCAGAAACAACTAGAGAATTTTACATGTTCTCTTTAGAATTATTAAACACTAAAGCTCAAATCAGGGTTTACATCCTTTCTTACTTGCATTGACTGCCTGTGTAAGGTAGTGTTTTGTGCATCAGGAGATTGATATAACAGTAATAAAAATGTTAAATGAGTGGTTACTTTGTGCCAGTAGCTTACTGTTCTACCCAGCTTTCTACGTCTAAACTCATTTTGACTTCAATAATAACCTTACGAGAACAGTGCTATTTTTACTTTTATTCTGTCAGTAAAGAAAACAAAGGAAGAAGATAAATTAATCCTTAAAAGGGCATAAAACTAACTAATAAATAATGGCTTATTGTCAAACAATCCTGAGAGAATGTGGGTGAAACAGAAGAAAAAAAGCTGAATACAGAGAGAGCCCAAGTCATACTGCTGTAAATGCAAGACTTGAGTCCTAGACTTTTATCCCACTGAGGGATGGGGTGGTTATAAATGCTGAAAGAGTGAAAAAGATCAAAGCTGGAAACTACGATTCTCCTAAGACCACAGAAATGAAAGCACCAAGTTTGAATATCAGCTCCCAGTAGTCTCAGAAAAAGGCCAACACTTCACTTTCCGACATACAAGTCCTACAGCTCCACACTGGGGTCCCTTCTAGTCTGGTTTTGGGGTTTCCAGTCCCTTGTGCAATTGACATGGAGAAAACTACTCACCTGCTACTCCTCTCTTTCTGTCGGTTTTCTCTTTAGTTGTTTTAGACAACAACCACGAAAAACATCGGTCCAGGCTGTCGTGTGTGCACCCAGAGTATTCACTGTTGATTACTTGACATTAGATGACCGTGGACACATTATTAATTCTCTGTGAGCCTCAGTAGCCTCTTCATCAAATATGTATAATGACAGTAAACACTTCATTCGGGTTCTGTGAGGATTAAATGAGAGAAACTACATCAAGCATTTATCATAGCACCCAGGCATCACAAACATTAGAAAATTAGCTGCTTTTAAAATTTAGGATTTAATTCCAATACATACATATATATTATATATAATATATACATGTGGAATTTATTATTCCTTAGAGCAAGTTAAAATATAAACGTGAGGGCTTTCACAAAAGACATAAGATAGCCATTATTCTATACTTTGTAACTCACTGTGTACATACTGAGGCTTAGTAAACCAATGAAAGAATCTGAATTATGTATGAGAACAGAGAACTTATATAGAAGAGAGTTAGATTCCAGTGAGAAGCAGACTCCTAATTAGTAACTACACACCTGTTTACACCTTCTAGAAGAGAAACAAAATGAGAGAGCATGAGAGACAAACAGCATAGCCTCACCTTCTATACCAATTATTCATCCATCCACCCATGCACTTTCTTTTATTCAACAATCACATATTGCAAGGCACTCTTCTAGTCACAATGAAGGGATAAGAAGGCAACCAAGCCAGCACTAAGAAGTCAGAATTGGCTTGTCCAAAATTATTCCCTGTATGCTGGTCTCTAAAAGGGGCTGGGCCCTGGAAGATTTCAGAGATGAAATCTGTAGCAAAGTGTTCAAGGCAATCATTTCTGCTAAAAACTGAGGTGTCTAGTTAAGTCATGTATAACTTGTGTTCTTTCCACTATGGGTGTCTAGAATAAGACTTTAATCCAAGATTATTCCATACACACAGTTTACAGATTCCACCTCCCAATCAAGCCTGAAGAGCTGTTGCTTTCTTAATTAGTGTATAACAGCCCCTTCGAGTCCAATGCTTGCCTTGCTAGATCTCTGAGTCCTGCCCTGAAGTACAGTGAGAAATTATTCTGTGCATCTACCACAGAGAATCCCTCCTACAGTACTTTTTCATGATTCCTAGTGGTGTTTTTCCTGAACTAATCAAGACATTTATGACTAAAACTCATAATATGTAAGGAAGATGAAAGACTTCAATGTATAAACTAATAAAACTGGAAGACTGTCCTTTACTGAAAAATGTATGTACCAGCTTTGGATGTAATTATCTATTTTGTCTTCTGATACACCACTGGATTTTGAGGAAGTAATAAGTAGGAATCAATCTCTGTATGTTTTGACATTTCCCTGGCACAAGAAGAGAAAGTGACTATTTTATGGGACCCATGCACCTGTCCCACTCAGTCTTGGAAACTGAGGCAGGCTTCATTTCTCCATGGAAATAGTTGGAAGTAAAACTGTGATTTTTCAACCGAAGGACTAGTTTTACAGTAATGATAATGGCCTAATATAGGATCCATTTTGTCTAATGCACAATTTATCAATATAACTTCACTGATAATAAAATTGATACTTGGAGGCCTAAAGAAATCAAAAGTTTTTTTTTTAATTTTTGAATAGTTTCAAAACTTCTAAGAGACATTTGATTCAGTATCATACTTAGCCGCAATGGTGGATATGAATTTGACTCTAACTGATCTTGGAAAGATTATGTTGTCTCGAAATGTTAGTCTACTCATCTTTTTCCATGATCGTAATGTCTATCCCATTGGATTATGTGATAATTAACTCAAGCAAAGTTCTGGAAAGTTCAGAAATTGTACTATTTTCTATTACACATTAGAAAGTAATTAGAACATTGTGTGTATAGTAAATGTGATATAAAGGGTAGTTTCAACAAAAATGAACAAAAACCTTGAGAGGCAATAGAAGATGGAGTCTTCACATTACAAACACATATTCTTTTTTAAAATTATCTTAAATATAGGAACTAGTTTAGAAAATCAATAGTTGATCTGCAACAAATTCAGAACCACTATATAACTTATGCTCCTATACACCAGCCAGCTGGATACCACTATTTATAGCAGAGCCTGAGTATTACCAAGAACAGGACACTTCATAAACACATGTGAAAGTCAAACCAGCCCAGGCTATCCACCTACAGAGGGCACTGTTTTCCAGGTGCCACTTAAAATGAAACTCTTGGGCCATGGATTTAGCTTAGTGGTTCTGCTGCCTTCCTCTCAAGCACAAGGACCTGAGTTTGATCCCTAGTACCAAAATATAAAAAATAAAAAGAAACTCCCTTTGAACGGGCACAGAGCAGTTTTACTACCAGCCATGACTACCTTTACTCCTAGCAGTGCTTAGAAGATTTTATGTCATCACAGCCATTTTATGTCACGACATTCAGCAGTGACTACAGCTGGTTTGAACCTATTTCTAGAAAGCTGAATTTTAGAGGACATAGAATTTGGAGCCTTGGATCCTGTTTATTTCCCAAAAGCTTTTGCCAGTAACTCTCAGACATCACTTCCTCTCTGGACATTCTATGACTTTCTGAAATAAATGTGGTGATTTCAAGCCCAAGCAGTGATTGCCTACACACCATTGTGCTTCTTTAGGAAAAGAGAGTTGGGCCTGAGTTCAATTTTCCATCAGAAGAAACATCCCTCAGGGAGCATTCCAATGCTCAAGTCCTTATTCTTGAAAGAAAAAAAAAAGTGGACAAATAATGCCAAGTAAGTACAGAAAGTACACTTTCTCAGAGGATACCATTGTCACACACCTTTTTACAGAAAATTTTCCAATGGAGAAATACAAACTACCTCAATGCCCTGGCTTCATAGGCAGACACTTATCATAGTCAGGGGGACTGAGAATTTTCTTCTTCTAAACTCAGAGCAAGTGATTTTCTCTTGATCAAGACCAATATTTTCATCTATATTCTTGATTATAATCTGTCTTTTCTTTTCAAGGATCTTGATCCAAGTTGTATCATTAAAATCATAGTCACATCTGTTCTGGTCAAATGGCCTGTCCTTTTAGTCTAACACTCTGAAATACTTATTAACACACACACACACACACACACACACACACACACACACACTCAGCCACTTTTCTATTTTTTTATAGCAAAGTACTTAAAATAGTTCACATTTGAAGCCTTCTTTTTTATAACTCCTCTGTTTTCTCTTTTGCTTCTATAAATAATTGCATGATTTTTCCTTGTCTTGCTATTTCAAGAAATACAGTGTAAGCATTTTCTAATCTTTCTCATTATCAGATCATCTTTACCATCTCCCATGCTCACCTCTCTATCCATACACTTAAATAAAATTCATCATTGGTTTACTAATGCTTAAATCCAATGGCAAGCATCAATAATTTGTTAAACAACTGTTTTCCCTTTCATTAAACTGTTTTCTTCTTTGGCTGTACTCTGCTATTTATTTATTTCTCGTAGATGCCTCATATTAGATACTTATTCACTTCAAGTATCATATCACACACCTTACATTGCCAAAGTGATGCTGGAAGCTAGAGATTATTGTCGTATTGCACACATCTAAAAATTAAACAGGTAGAATCTAGTGAAATCAAATACTACTACCTAGATCACACAGTATGCAAAACATATGAGAATTCAGTTTTGTCAGACAGCAATGTATATTTTTAACTTGTTAATATGATAATTACATTTCAAAGTACACCAATGATATAACCAACACAATTCACCTACCCAAAGATTTAAAGGGTTTACATTTTACTTTATTGATCTTAGATTTTCCTCAAAACTGATACATTTGGAAAACCTGAAGCAAACTTTGTACTATTTCCCAATTTTACCATTTTCTTTTCCCAGAGAAAGCTATTATCCTCTAGAAGGTCTTCATTCTTTGAGTTTGAATTTTCATCCTACTGTTTGACTGATAAAATCTTCTGTATTTCTTCTTCCTTTAACTTATAGTAGTCTGGATATGATATATTCATTTTTTTTCTACTGGCTTTCATTCATGGATTTTTAATATAATTAAGTTCATAGATAATTAATGTGCCTAATTTCCTCTCAAAAAATAGGAATTTTGAGTGTATCCACCCTCAATTTCCTCCTCACATGTACTTTATTAATGTTTGTTTTTGTCTTTACAATAGCTTGTCTTAACCATCAGTGGATTAGCAACATATATAATCTTCCTACCTATCATCTCCCTATCTATCTTTTTGTCATCAGTATTATCTATCTGTCTAGTGCTATCTTTTACAAACTGAGCTTTCTTAAATCTGCAAATACTTTCATAAAAATATTTCTTCACTATATATTTTCTTTATTTTCTGGAGACATGGTATTCAATTTTCTCTTATTGATTTCATTCTCTAATATTTTCTTACTCTCTAGTAATAATTACACCCTACTATGTGACTTAGAAAATGTTCACTGTTTATTTATGGGTATTCTCCCCTGATTTAGCAATTGCCTTCCTACAGAAATTAGGGTTGTTTCATCCACTCCTTAAAGAAAGGTTTTATTGGGCTTCTGGTGCAATCATGGAAGTGTGATAGCACTGGCAATAATTCTGTGAGAGTTAAGCTATTTCATCTTTGATTTTTTCCAAATATTTTTTGACAGAGTATTCTGATGTTCCCCAAAATATAACCAGGTGAGTATAGCTTTTAGTCATCCCTTGATGTATTCATTCATTTTGAAAGTTGGAATCATTTTTTCCATCCAGCCAAATTGTGAGCCACTGAATCTTTCATGTCTGTGCTCTTTTTCTAAAAATTTGTACCTTTCTATAGTACGATACTTTCTTTTACTTATAGCTTTATAACTAAGTTTTGTTACAGGTAATGCAATTACTTGTTTATGTTACAAAGTCCCATTGAGTTACAAAAGGCCACTACCTGTATTCCTGAATTATTTATTGGCTAGATTAGTATGAAATGAGACAGAGTCTTGCCTTGTTCCAGATTAACCTTAAAACTGTTACATAATACAGGCTGGTCTCAAACTCAGAATGCTCCCGTCATAATCCTCTAGAGTGTTTGAATTACAGGCATGTGCTACCATACCTTCCTGAAACTCTATATTCTTTGACCAACATTAAAAACTTTCCATCCTAGAGTGAATATCTGAATCCATTTTAAGAGGATTTGAAGTGAAATAAAT